GGCAAAAACCCTGGAGCCAGCCCTGGTAAAAGGCACGGCCCTGGCACACAGCCCAGCCTGCCAAATTTCAAGTCCCTGCTGCAAAGCATGGGGGTGCTAGACCCAAAGTAAAGGTCTCCAGAAAATAAATATAGAATTAACATGGGCAAAACCATGCATTGTTCCCAAACCTAGTTCTTGGAGATGGCGGAACTGTTTTGGCTGAAATTTTCAAAAAAAAATTTGGCCTGATGCCTCGTGTGAAATTTCAGCCTGTCTGGTTAAAGTCTAGCAAAGTTTTAAGCACTTAACAATAGCGTCCTATAATGGGAAGTGTCAGGCACCCAACCCTGCCTACGGAATTCTCCAATGTCTCTAATTTGACCATTGGCTGAGCAGTCCCGAAGAGATTTTGATAAATTTCAAAGTGCAGACAAGTCTCCTGTTAAAGCCCTCAGTTTAGGTGGTGCAAGCTGGAGTGATATTTTGTTTTAGCTGTGTGACAGAGTTGCCCGTGAGAGCCAGCTGAGGTCACTCAATTAGGGTGAACTGCAAACCAAACTGGGCAGACAAACCCCAGAAGTTGGTGGATATTCCAATACTTAGATTTACCAAGCCAGCACAAAACAGTTTCTATAGTACCTCACTGGTTACTTAGAAGTTCAAACAAGGCAGTTCCCTTAAAGTACCCAGCCTCAGGCCTCCATCCAGACACACCTGTCAGATATGATGATGATTACTGAAAATCTTATCTCATCACATAAAAGAAAAGGTTCTTCCAATCCCAAAGGATCAGCCACATACCCAGGTTCAATTATAACTTAGATCTTACCCAAAATACACGCTATAGCCAATTCTTATGAACTAAACTAAAATTTATTAAATAAGAAAAGAGAGAGAGTGTTGGTTAAAAGATCAATATACATACAGACTTGAATTCAATTCTTGAGGTTCAGATACATAGCAGAGGTGAGCTTGTAGTTGACAAAAGTCCTTTTAGATATAGTCCATAGGTTATAGTCCAATGTCCAAATTCAGGGTGACTCCAGTCAGTGACTGGGGATCTCAATCCTTATGGCTTATGGTTTCCCCCTCTTGAAACCCAAAGCAGATCTGAGATGAAGTAGGATTGTGTCCCAGCGTTCTTATACATTTCCAGCAGCCTTTTTGGCCTGAGAAAACAATAGGCTTAACTCTCCTTCCAAACATCCAGGCAATTAGCACAGGGTAATTTATCCATTAAACAGTTCAGATACAGGTTACCACAACCTTCAAAGAGTTATATAGACAATAATACTATTTCGCTCCAGTATCATTATAAATGTTAATATTCCTTTTTGATTTTTGAATTAAATTATAGCAATAGACAAGACTTGTTTGCTTACATCACAAGCCCTGAGCAAACATCTACCCTTTTACCTCTAACAATGCAGACTTACATTTCAAAGCTTTATTCATTTACCTATCTTCCTAGGCAGTCTCTAAAGTTCACCCATGGGTCAGGTCAGTCGGTGAGTTAATTAACTCTTTCTGGCCCTGTGACTTTCCAATGAAATATTATATTACACTCATAACGTCACAAGCTGGTCAGAGGGAAACCCAGGGCACCCCCAACCCGCTGACAGCTGCAAAAGCTGCTTGTAGCCTCATCCCCACCACTACCACCACAGACACAACCCAGGGCAAGGCTGGGACATTTCTTTTGTGCTTGAGGTGCCTCAAGCAAAGGCAGGGTCCTCAGGCCAGGGAAGGGGCTTGTGGCTGTTTGCCAGTGCAGTGCCCTGCCGATTCCTGGTAGGTAATGGGAGCTCTGTATAGAAAAAGCCTGGGCCGTGGGAGGCACTCACAGTCACTCCCCCCTCGCCATTGACTCACAGTATGCTCGCCCCAGTGAGCAGTGGAGAATCTCACGGGCAGGCCTGGTGCTGCATTGGCCACTCTCCCCTCAGTCACTGCTGGCCCAATGTTTGGTACTAGGGGGCACTGTACTGCAGAGAACAGGGCAGGGTCTCAGTGGGGGGCTTTCTTCCCTAGGTGTCAGTGCTGGATGCAGCGCCCCAGTGCATTGCTGGGGGTGCTGTACCACAGGGAGTGCATGGGGGCTCGGTAGGGGGTGTTCTCCCATCACAGTCTGTGCTGGTCTCGATGCCCCAGTGTGGAGCTGGGGGGGTGCAGTGCTGCAGGTTGCTCAGTAGGGGGCACTCAGGAGTCAGAACTCCTGGGCGTTATTCCTGGCTTGAGGAGCGGAGTGAGGTCTAGTGAGTTAGGGACAGGAGCCTGGGTTCTATCCCAGCTCTGGGAGGGGACAGGGGCTGGGAGCACATACTCCTGGGGTCTATCCTGGCTTTGGGAGGGAATGTGGGGACCCAAGGGCTCTGTTTTCTGTTCCTGGGGTTACCTGGCCTCTGTCTTCACCTGCCTTCCACAGCGGAGCTGGGAGCCTCCCTGCAAGGCCCCTGTATGAGCAGGTTTCTCCTTAAGCCCATCCCCCCTTCATGGGTTGTGTTTTTCCATCCCCCAGGGCTCCTTCCTGGTTTGAGGGCTGCTCCCTCCCTGTTAGTAAGAGTGTTTTGTTCTAGGTGCTGCAGAGAACCAGCCAGGGCTGTCCACTGCCCACTCCCTCCCCACAAGGCCCGGAGACATCCCCCCCAGCACCCAGATGGCTCGACAGGACATGCCCAAGGACCAGTGAGTGGCAGCTCCCTTTGCCAACAAAAGACCCTTGGCGCCCTCTATGTGGGGGTGGGACTCTGCTCCGGGACCACCATCCCCCAGGGGCTGTGTCCTGTGGGGTTCAGGTGGGGGAGGCTGGGAGTCAGGACACCTGTGTTCTGTGCCAGGTTCATGTGTGGGCTGGGGAGGGAAAGGGGCTGCCCCATGGACACCCTAGGAGTAAAGGAACAGGCTGGGAGATTGGGGGGGTGTTCTGCTGGGCATCCTGCCCACTTGGTAATCCCTTGGTCAAACCAAGGGACTCACACTTCCGGTGGGGGCAGGAGGAGGGGTCGAGCCCCGGACCATGCCTTTCCCCCACCCCGTGGGAGCCTAACACCACCACCCCGACCCATCCCCGCAGGCCCCCAGGGAGGGGACCCCCATTAGCTATGCAGTCAGTGCTCCCTGGAGCTAATGAGAAATGACTGCAGTGCAAGGGGAGTGGGATTAATGGTTCGAGCAGACAGGGCTGGGAGCCAGGACCCTGGGGTTCTATCCCCAGCTCTGGGAGGGCAGTGGGGTCTGGTGGGTTAGAGCAGAG